TTTTTTTTACGTAAGCCAGGCAAATGGCTTATTTCCAATTCACATTTTTGCTTTGCTTAAAAGTGTAAATTAGTATGGAAATCATTTAGTGTACTTGAAAGTATTTAATTATGTTATAAATGTATCACATCTGCAAGGTTTAAACATGACAGATTATTCTATAAACTATAAGTTTTTCATTTTATTTGAATTAAACATGTTTTATTTAGCATGAAAGATATATACATTATGGCTTATTATCCATAAAAGGGTAAATGATTCTTTTCTGAAATTGTAGCCTATTATGTTACAGTATGTATTTAGAACGTAGATAAGAAAGGCAAACATTTACAGGGTCTTTTCTCCTTAGTAAATTGACCAGTCTGCTGTTACAATAGCATATAGAGCCAGTTGGGTATCGCTGTTGATCATTGTAAAGCCACATGTTATTGGCTGGCTAGGATCCACACATCAGATGTCTGATCAATACATTTCCTGCAATAGCCGGCATATCTGGGAGTCTTTTTGCTAAGACCAAAAGACAAGTTCATTGATTCAACAACTCAAAATCTAATCAGGGGTGATCTGTTCAAGCTGATATTGATAAGGAGTCCGAGTAGCAGCGTGCATATTTTTCAAAACTGTCGAAACATAGTCAAATCTGCACTGTGATGCAATACTGACAGTGATGAAAAAAAAGGTAGGCATGTTATTAAGCACTGACATTTTACTGGCAGATAATTGGTGTAAGAATACTTGGGATCATATTGTAATGCACATCCAGCACATGCACGTCTAGGGGTTCAGTTATTTTAAAACTGTGCATATATGCATATACACGTATATATATATATATAGTCGGTCCTATTAAATTATAGTGCTATACATGCATGGCTAACACAGAACAGAAATAAAAGGAATGGTTGGAGAACAGCACCCTGGGGTGTGGCCACTTTGATGATTATTGAACATCACAGCATCTATAGATGTATGTTTTAGTATATCACGAAGCCCAGTAAACAGAGTGAGGTGATTATGAAGGAAATTATGAATGGGTATTACTTTCTATCAGTACAGGTCTGATATATTGATGAGATCATTATCATAATGCAATTAAAATGTACTGTGAGAAACAGTGTCATATATTTATTTTAATCCCCTCCCAAGTACATTTAACTACTACAGCATAATGGAAGCATGTATTAGTTGTTATGCAAAATCAGTGGTAATATGATTATTTTTGACGTATCTGCACATGTGAGTGAATCAGAAGCATCTCTATACTAAAGGACATGTTGTTATATCAATATAATTCATTAAGGTCAGCATAAAAAATACTATTACATACAACTGAAAAAATATGGTTGTTTTTGCCCATACAGTCATGTAATTTACATGGCCATTAGACTTGCTACTCCTACAAAATGTCAGGTATCAATATGGAAAAAAATACATCACCTCTGTTTGCATAATGTTGTGTGACTCAGATTAGACCAACATCTCTTTCTGTAATTGACAGGAAATTCTAGTATTTTATGGCTGCACTTATTCTCAGTCAGAGTCATTGATTGGTGCTATTCATGTGGCAGTATTGGTGTTTTTTGAGATCCATTGACAGATCAAAGTTACAGCTTAATGTGCCCTTGGCCGGAATTAAGTTTTGTTTTTTTGTTTTTTTTATTAATAACCATGTCCTCAGAATAAATGAACATTTTTAAATGTAAAAATATAAATTTGTTTATGAGCCACTTGCCTAACATTAACCTTGATATATTGTATATTTAAGAAAATCAAAAGTCAAGGATCACAGGTCATCTTAAATGGAAACCCCCATGTAATGGGTTGTCTATCATTGAAAAGAAATGCCAACAGCTTGTATCATATGAATGGAAATTCAATTTATTTTCAGTTATGCATCTTTTAACTTTTTTTCATGTATTCAAAGCTCTGCCCTTTTATTTTCAAAGTTTATGGTCTATACCAGCTGGAAGAAAAAATTTTAGTTATTGCTGCATAAATGTTACCTTCAGATAGATAAACAAACTGACAGGCGTGCCAATAATTTTGGCATGCAATTAAGGTGGACTTAATTAGTCGTAGTTAAAGGTCATTTTATTATAATTATCAGCTATAAGAGATTTCTACTTACTAGCACTGAGTATTTTAATCAAACATGAGATGGAAATGTTATGAATATGTAATTCATTGATTTAATTGTGATATGATCTGTCACATTGAACTGGATCTTGATCTGATGGTCTAATACTACATATTTGATTCAGTATTCCTCTCTCTATTGTAGATATCTTACGCCATGTCTGACAAGGAGCTGCAAATGCAGTGAACAATGGCGTAGTAGTATGCCATCCTAGGGCTTGGCTGACCAGGGCTAGCAGCCAGGCTATAGATCACTGGACAGAATGACCACTGCCAGTGCAGAGGACATCTTGCAGACGGGCAATGTCATTAAGGACAGGTGGAGAGTGGTAAGTCCAATGAGCAAAATAAAAAACAGCAGAGCAGTTTCACTGGGACTGCAAGGCATCTGGTAGCCAGTAGAATTGATTAGTCAAACAGGACAATATCACATTTTTATGAGCTAGTCTATACTACTGTGCAAGATCAGAGTCAAAAAGCTTTATAAAACTAGACCACAATAGGTTCAAGGCAAAGGTCAAGGACAATGGTAAAGGTACTTATTCATCTCCTAACATCAGTCTGCAATGTTAGCCACTGGTCCAATGCCTGCTGGCAGTAAAATTTTGTGTGAAATAGTAGATTTTTCAAATTGTGTGAATTCGGTGCTCTGACATGGCCAACAGATTTTTTTTTTGTTACAAATCTAACCTTTTTCAATAATTTTTCAGAAATGTTTTTGAGTGCATCTCTCACTTGCCACATAACAAACAAATTCAATATGAATACAAAAGTATGCATGCACAACACATTAATGTGAATGTTTTAATGGATTATAACTGGTATTTTCTCTTAAAGGTACTTTAAGGTACTCTATACGGGATAGTGAATTTTCTTGGGGAAGAAGTAATTTCCCCTACTCATGAATCATGGCTCAACCTGTCAATACAATAAAGGGAACCGGAGAAGATCAGCATTGGTCAGAATTGTGCCGGAAGTGACGTGCAGTGGTGTTAGAAACGAAGCTGAGTGGTCATTTTAACATAGAGGTGAACGGCAGTGAAGACGGGTTGTTGGAGGAAAAAGAAGTTTTCTAAACAACATGGTAAGATAACACTTTTTCTTTACGCATTTTGGGCAGAGAAAACTTGTAGAAATAATAAATGCATGATATGAAAACGTGACACGGAACTTGAAGGTGCAAAATCGTGCTTAATTGGCGGTCAACTTGTTTTAAAATGAATGCTGCATCGACCGCCATTGCGACAAAGAGTGTAAATGGAAAATAATTCCCGGGAGGCTGTAANCAGGCTTTATATCTCTTTGGTGCTGTTGAAATGATCAATGATCTGAGCAAATACATCTCATTTCATGTAGATGTGTTTTGTGAATTCCAAAGTCTGCTGGTTTACCAATGGCAATGACTAAATAGCAATGACTAAATGGCCATGACTCTTATTAACAACCTCTGACCTATATTTCAAGGCCATAGTGTGTTTTGTTTCATTCACAGTGTCCAAAAGTTTATTATTACTACATCTTTGCCTCTTTTTAATTAGATTAAGTGCCAGATGGTACATACTACAGATATAGCCCGCTCAGTATCATGGTATACCCCTATTTTCAGAAGTAAGGATATTTTTGTGATAATTCAAAATTTTTAACCGTATTAAACGTTCAACACATATTGCATAAGTCTAAAGAGAGATGTACTGAAAATTAAAGGATTTTACATTAAGGCCCATCAGATACTTTGGGCGCATTGATTGGTAAGCTGGCCTTATTAAGAATTAAGTTAGGTCCACTGTACTCAGCTGGCATATTAAGTTGGTAATAGTTTCTTTGTAGAAATAACTGCATGTTCAGGTGTGCCTGTAAAAACTAAGGCTTATATGTTCTGTAATTTTGAGTAAGTGTTTCTTTAACTGCAGTCCAAGTAGGAGTCGATTCATATTGATTTTTGTACAACTTTGGCATGTTAGGTTTGGGCACAGGTTTTGCAGGCAGAGAAACTAAAAAAACAGATGTCAAATTCAGTTATCAGCTGTAATGTGCCCCTTTGCTGATTTGTCAAAAAAGCTGCCCAATGTTACCTGGGGTAAAAGGGGATTCTCACCAGGGCCAACTTGGAATATGTCACCAATATGAAATAACCAAATGGCTTATTGTTGGCTTTGGTAGTGAAGTCCCTATGTGGGTATTTACATATATACGTTCGAGACAATTAGGCTTCGTTCACATGGAAAGTCTATTTTCTAAAAATCTATTTTCTATTCGTGGTATCTTATGATCACGGTCTGTGCCCTGAATATCCCGCGGCGTAATTACTGGCAGCGCAAGCCAGTTACTTATACAAAGCTGTAATTAATTCTCGGCTGTGCTCACATTCTATAAAATCTCATCCTCCGTTGCTGCATCGCTTGCCATCGGATCATGACGGTTGTACTCGTATCTGTCGTGTGTATAGCTTCTTCATCTTCTTCGTCTTGTTGTTGCACAAAATCGACAAACACATTTTTCAAAGCAACCGCAACCGCCATTAACTTTCTAACTTCCTACTGCGCATGCCTCAAGGTATCAGAATCTCCTCCGAGCACAGCCTTGAATTAATTACAGCTTTGGAAGTTACTGGCTCGCGCTGCCAGTAATTACCTCGCAGGATATTTAGGGCACAGACTGTGATCACAAGATATACCGCGAATAGAAAATAGATTTTTAGAAAATAGACTTTCCATGTGAACGAAGCCTAAGTAGTCTATTTCTAGTTTGAGGTAACCCTGAAGTTATGATGGCTTCAGCATATATGCAATTAATGTAGAAGATGAGTCTCCTGTCTTGGCCTGTCTAATGCATACTTTTTTTGTCTGGTAGCAACATTTTAGCCAAAAACATTTTAGCTGATTATGATGTTCAGTTCAGCAACTGTTTAGAAGCTATTTTATATTTGCCCACAAGCATGTGTGTATACACTCACAAATATACAATCACACAAGTCACTGGCAATGGTAAATTGTGGTTTAAAGAAGATAGTTCTTAGAATGTTCAGATGAAAAGAAAAACAACATAACTTTTTGTTAAAAAAAAAGTATGCTTGGTGAAGGTGCCAGCCAGTTGTGTAATGCCTGGTGTAACAAATGCCCTCTTACTCAATACACTGGACATAGCTGCCTCCATTTGATAGATATACAGAGAAGAGTATGATAATGGTTTTCTTTGATGTCTGATTTATTTTTTCTTGTACACAACTGCACCGAACCACTGCTATTGCATTCATATATTTATTTGTGTGAATCCTGAAGTTAGAGAACAGTCATGTAATATGGTTGTATGAGTCTCTGTGTGATTTGGTAAATTGGATCAGTGATTAAGAAGTTTTTTTGTCTGGTCTTATAATATAAGTTGTTATTGCAGTTACATTTTTATAACCTCTACACCAATGAAAAATGCATTTTTTCCAGAGTAGGAGGTGCCTTTTTTCCTTAATTCAACATATATATGTAATATATTCTAAGTACATTCACCCCGTGAACTCAAGTGTTAAGTAATTCAGTAATTACTACAGTAATTATTCAATCATTTCAGTATGCAAAAATTATTAAACTTCAGAAACATGATTGTATAATTGCAAAAAAATTATATTTCTGTATAACCATATATGGTGCTTTTACTGCACAGAATAGAACAAAAGACTGCTTTCTGATTTTGTTGCTTCCACTCAAGAGGAATGTTCCAATTTTAAGGAATTATGATCTAAAAAATACACCATCTGTAAAATTTACAATTTCCCCCCCATTGAAAATATGGAGTAATTACCTTATGAAGTATGCATGAGTATATATATTTTGATATATGTGTTACTGAATTGGGATATTTTCCAGGTAAAGAAAATAGGAGGTGGTGGGTTTGGTGAAATCTACGAGGGGACAGACATGATGACCAGGGAGTCGGTCGCCATGAAGATCGAGTCAGCCAAACAGCCCAAACAGGTGCTCAAAATGGAGGTGGCGGTGCTAAAAAAGCTACAGGGTATGGGATCATCACATGTTTCTCTCTCTCACGAGAAAAAGTGTGCTACTACTAATTAATTCAAATTTCAGAGAAAAACATACCTGTGATTTATGTTTCTTAAATGTCACAGTGCACTTCTTGCATTTGCACAATCCATGTCTTAAGTATTTGTCAATGTCGAATTCTTGTTTTGTTCTGTAGAAAAAATGTCTGTCTGGAAAATGGTGACTTATTAAGCACGTAGAGAGCTTGATGAATACTGCCATAACCTGAGGTTAGGTGTATGCTGTTTATGACTATGATACAATAAGGTAGTTGTAAAGTGTGCTAAAAGCTGGGCACCCAAAGTCTGTCCCTCAACACTGATAGACCCCCTTGTACATATGTATATATGCGCCAATTTAAGAGACTAAAATGAGTGCCCCCTAACCAACAATATACACGAATTTGAAAAAATATTTTTTAAATAAAATTATGGACAATCACCATGCAGTGCCTTTGTTTGTTGCTATGCTTAACTGTTGAAAATGAAAATAACTCCTTTTCTCACAGGGTTTTTGTCCTACATAGATAATGCTATTTTTTGATCATCTTCCATTTGAATGTCCAAAAGTGCTGCCAAAAGAAAGATGACAAATCACTCTGAAAATAAAGAATGGCTAGTCAAGATATTGCCCCACACTGTATTGCCCTACACTCCATGGTTTGAGGGAATTCTGTAGGTTAGATGTTCTTCTGCTATGTAGTAATTTGAAGCAACAAAAGGCTGATCTAAATTAGACACATTATTCCCTGCAGTCATCTGCCAGATGTGCACTGTATAAAGATTGCTACACTGGCATGGTGCATAAGTAATGTAATAACCTCAAAGTTTTGAACACCACACTTATTTCAACAGTTTTACTTCAATTCTTTTCATGATTTAATAATATCCAATACTCATGTTTTTTTTTCTGAAGTGAACTGTCACAGTAAAAAGTCAAGCCATGTAAAATTTGCAGTTCACTGACTCAGTACTGTATTGATGCTGTGATCTAATTTAATACACGTTAGAGAGCAAAATTATCAGTACCCTTGTCAGCAACTACGTGTTTGCCCCATGGAGTAAATGGATATGACAAAAAAGGTTTCTTGAGTAAATGCATTACTGTGAAAGAAACCACTGCTCTAAAGGAGAAGTGCATTGAATTTTTCGTTTCCTTGGTTTTGTCAAATTTCTGTTTAGATATCCATGCTGATGAATTTTTAGTCTGTTTCATTATTTGTTTGAACAGAGACATGGTGTGTCTCTGCATGGAGCTATGAGGTGTAACTTTCCATCTCTTAAGATGTTGTCTAGGAAGTCCCATTCCAACTTTCATCATAGTCCATTGAAGATAGCATTACTTATGTGAGATTTGGATTTCCATTTTTCCTTCCACAAAGTAGGCACTGAATGGATTTATAAATAATCATGTTGAATTTCATTAGTACTCAGCACTAGTTAGTTTCCAGATTATTTTCCAGACAGACTTCTTTTATATGGAACAAACAAAGGGAATATTCACAGATTTCTTCATGTTTCAAACTAAGATATGTTGATAAATAGATTTTGTGAGTCCAAGTGTCCATGGATAGGAAACACTAATCACATTTGCAATCATGTGTTTTTATGTTTATTTTGTGTAATTTTTGTGTACAGAACACAACTGGTGAAAATCCTACACCACACAAACCATCAATAACTATTCCTAGAGTTCAATTCTCCACTGTGGGCTTTATGTACATGTAATGGGAACATTGACCTCTAACTTGTGTCTGAAGTGGATAAGATGTAGATGGAGGGAAAAAATCCATGTAAAACATGCATGCACTTTTATGTTTGCTATAACTGTGGAAATTGTCATTCTTGTAAAGTTTTGTGAAATGAAAGGTTATTATGGAATTGTGATTTATTTATGGTTTATTTGTGCATCCAGATTATTTTTTTGGCTGCTGTTTTTTTTTTTTTTTTTTTTTTTTTTTTTTTTTTTTTTTTTTTTTTTTTTGTCGGGCAATTTTTTTATTTTTTAAATTTAATAAAAATTTTGGGGGAAGTTTTTTTTGTCT